AACACACACACACCATGTGCGTTAGATATAACTGTTTCCATTGGGTCTTCAATGACTAATTTTTCAGAAGTAGATAGCCAGGCCTTTCTTCCTAGGAGCCTCTGGATAGACGCAAACTGCCAATCTTGCAGTTAGCAGACAATCATTTTTCTACTCAGGGACTCCTTGATTTACATTACCAGTTGCTGATTAGAGAATGGAACCCTGGTGTGGCGCTGTGGGTTAATGCATCAGACTGCAATGTTGTTTGAACTTCACGGTCGGTCGGTGGTTCAAGTTCACCAGCTGCTCCTTGGAAACCCTATACAGGGTTACTATGGGTTGGAATCGACTTGACAGCACTTAACAACAACAATTTAGAGAATGGGCTCCTCCTGATGGCACTGTAGGATCAGCATTGGACTGTGAACCATAAGGTCAGCAGTTCAAACCCAGCTGTTGTTCCTCAGAAAGCCTGTACAGGATTGCTATGAGTCAGAACCAATTGACAGCATTTAACAACAATTTAGAGAAAAACATGTAGGGGGCAGAAGTGGAAATAGGGAGACCAAAGAGGAGCCTGAAGAGGATGGTGGCTGGGACTGCAGAGAGATGGCTAGAGTCTGGATCTGTCTGGGAGGTGGGGCCAGTGGGATGTTCCGGCGGTTCTGAGGCACAGCCAGTGGGGGAAAGCAAGCACCCCGTGGCCTTGCAGCCTGCGGCCTGTTAGCAGGGAAGGCCTTGGAACCTGGGAGCTTCAGGATGGTGACCTGGGGTTGGGGGTGGGCACGTGGGGGCCGTGGCCTGACTGGACTGAGGGTACCTCTTTCTGCAGGGGTTGCCTCTTGTTCTCGGGCTCCTATGCCTGGGCCAACTTCAGCATCCTGGCCTTGGGCGTGTGGGCTGTTGCTCAGAGGGACTCCATCGATGCCATAAGCATGGTGAGCTTGGGGGTCGTCAGGACACGGGAGCAACAGCCATGGGACCTGACTTCAGGGCGAGGTGTGGTCCTGGCTCTGTCTTCCCCTTACCTATCCCAATTTTCCCTTTTCCTGTGCCTCTCCATTTTCTAAAGGCTAGTACATGAGCCCACCAGGCTACCAGCCCGCATGTGTCCTGAAAACTAGCCTGGCCTGTGCCTCTGCCTGCCTGGGGCACAGAGCCCAGGGTCTGCTTGTCATCTTCCTCAGGAAGTACATAAGGTGGGCCCCCAGTGACCAGATTGTTCAACTGCCCCCGTCACTTAACTCCAGGGCTCTGTTTTTGAGGAGAGGTAGGGTACTACTACTTTGTGAAGTCAAGAAGCTGGCACAGCCCAACTGAAATCTGCTTCAAGGGGACAGCTTTCCAACACCCAGGAAGTCCTGCGAGGCAAATGAGTTCCCTGGCGTGAGGGCTATTCAAGTCCAAACAGAGGGCCACCTCTCAAGATGACTGAGAAGGGATTTCCTTTGTGGGAAGAAACTGGGTTAGATGAGCTCCAAGGGTTCTTCGAACTTGGAGGTTCTGGAACCAAGTCTTGTGCCTGTTCATGGTCTCAGGAGATGTGAGAGCAATGGGGGTCCCTGAAGTGGAGCTAGCAGCGTGTGGGTCCAGGCCCCGTGCCCCCTGCCTCCTGGCCCCACATTCTCCATCCAGAATCTGCCTACTTGATCCCTCAGGATCCTCTAAGGAATCACTTGGATTGTTTCCCACCCTTGGGAGCCCCTAGTCTCTGGGAGGATGGGAGTGTGACAGTTCCCTGTGCTGACAAACTTATAATGACTGCATACCCCTCACCCTGCGTGTCTTACAGTTTCTCGGTGGCTTGGTGGTCACCATCATCCTAGACATCATCCATATCAGCATCTTCTACCCACTGGTAGCCCTCACGGACACAGGCCGCTTTGGGGCTGGAATGGCCATCCTGAGCTTACTCCTCAAGCCTTTTTCTTGTTGCCTTGTCTACCACATGTACCGGGAGCGTGGTGGGGAGTTCCTGCTCCATGTCGGTGAGTCCACCCTCCCCCAGTCTCCCTCTGGGTCTGCCTGCCTGACCCATCGCCCCTACCTATGAACCCACTTTCCCTGTGAGGCTAAAAGCGGGGGGTGGGGATGGCCCCTGACCCTGCTGAGGCTTCCCAGTGGCCCCTCCCAGGCATCAGGCTGCAGGCAGGGTTGGGGAGCAGCTGCCAGACCCTTAGTCCCGCAAACGAGACACAATTAGGGTATAATTCTGCTCAGCCTAAGATGTGCTGGTTTCTGTAGTGACAGCTCTTCCTCTCAGTTGCCACCTAGTCCCTCCCCAGGAGGCCCCTTCTGCCAGGTGGGGTCTTCCCTCTTCTCTGGCAGAGATGGCGTCAAGCCCCCCACCCCTCCCACCACCATCACCACTGACCAGCCTGGCCTCCCACTTGCTTCCTGCCTCACCCCTCCTGCCTCTGCATTTCTCTCAAGGATCTGGTTTGTCTCCCCTGTGTGACCTTAACACCTTGAGTGAAGTTACCAGTCAGTTGGCCTCTAGTCAGTCTGACACATGGTGACTCCGTGTGTGTCCGAGTAGAACTGTGTCCCACAGGGTTTTCAGTGGCTGTTTTTTTTTTTTCCGAAAAGATTGCCAGGTCTGTTTCTAAGGCAACTCGTATTGCCAGCTGAACACACACCTGTATGAAGGTCTGTCCCGGTGTTAGATGTAACAAACAACACCAGCTGTCCTGATACTGTTGAGTGTAAGGGGATTCCCCACAGAGCACAGAGCTGCCTGTTTCAAGGCCTCCTTAGATGAATGACGTATGCCAAAGGCTTGGTGCCTGGAGCTGCTGCCACTGTTGCTGTCCTTGATGCCAGGGTGCCCAGCTCCAGCCTTCCTGGTGGGGATGGTGGTTCTTGGTTTGGACTCCGTAGAATTTCCTGAGTTCTTATCCCCTGTTGGGTTTTTTTTTTTTTTTTTTTACCTGCCTCTCCAACCCAGGTTTCCTTGGACCCTCGCCAGAGCGCAGTGCCTACCAGACAATTGACACACCAGAAGTGTCCAGCGACTCCTTTGCAGGCCCAGAGAACAGGGATCAGGCGTCCCGAAAATACTGAAGCCATGCGTGCCCCAGCTGCATTGCTGTCCTCGTACCTTGGAGGTCATTCTAGGGAGGCTCCTAGAATGGAACATGTCCTTGAGTCCCCAACTCGGGCTGTCTGAAGGAAGTACCTGGAGAAGCCAGGAGCTTCTGTGTACCCCATGCGCACATACGCCCTCAACTCCTCAAACCTGCCCCATTCTCCATCACCTCACAGCTTTCCATGCTGGGCACCGTATTGTCTGTCTCCAGCTCCTGCCCCCTAGCTGTTCTGTGCAGGCCTCAGACCAAGCCATCTCTGAGCCTGGCAGGGCCAGGTATCCATGGGCCAGTGATGCCCCCAGCCCACTCCTCATTCCCCTCTAGAGGCACTGACAGCTTCAGGCCAAGTACAGTCCAGGAGCAATGCAGCATGGGAACGAGATCCCGGTGTTTCTCATTAGCTGCTCACAAAGTGCCTGGGGATCCCCTGGGCTGGAGGAAGGGGGATTTGTGCTACGAGAGATGGTGTCAGCCCTCAGATACCTTCCCAGAGCCCTGGCATTAAAGTTTGGGGAATCCTGTGCTGGGCTGCATTTTGAACCGTATTTATCCCCTGGTTGGGCTGGGTTCTGGGGTTTGCCATTCTGGGAAGATGTCTCATTCTAAAACCCCAGGTGGAGCCTGGGGTTAGCTGCCACTTCTATTGTAGCAAGAGGAAACAAGGCTTGGTACCAACCAGCCAGAGCCTGCCCTGTACCTTACTCAGGCCTGGCAGAGTCCACGGCAGAGGGGATGCTGTGGTATGGCAAATGGTTGTTCATTGCTTCCTACCAAAGGATGTGGAAATTGGTTTGAACCCTGCTCTGCCACTTACTAGCTGTGAGATCTTGGGCATCTTCTAACCTCAGCACTGACTTCTGGAAAAGGGCCAATGCTGAGGCCTGTGATTATGCAAATTGCATTGAAGAGCCTGGCCCCAGGCAGGGCTTTGTGACAGTCAGATGACTAACAGTGGAGTCTCTTCCTGAACAACTGATTAATGTTGGAACAGGAGTTGAGGAGCAACAGCAGCACTTCCTGGCACTTAACTGTGCGTTTTGTGGCCTCACAGCTGACTTGGACTGGAGTGTCTAGAAGCTCTAAGCGTCTCCAGGCAAGGGCCCACCCCATTCTGGGTGTGGGCATTCACAGTTCACTCCTCCTCAAGAAACCCAAAGTGATGGTTTCTTCCCTAGCTCTTGGAGGTCAAGGCCTGGTACATGGCCCACACCATCCCCCATATCCGTCTGTCAGTCAAAAAAAGGCTGAGTGCCTAATGTGTGTTGGGCAAGGGCCCAGGCTCCTACAGTGAAGCCAGCTGCCTGCTAGTCGGGGGAAAGACATGAAATGTTTCCTTTCATCAGAGGAGAAACCTTGGGTGGTGCAAACTGCGAACGTGCTCAACTGCATGCTAACAAAGGTTGGTAATTCAGGTCCATGTAGAGAAACCTTAGAAGAAGGATGTGGTAATCTACTTCTAAAAATTCAGCCATTGAGACCCCCATGGAGCACAGACCTACTCTGGCACATGGGGTCACTATGAGGCGGGGGTCACATCATCAGAGAATGTCAGACTAAGACAAGAGCCATGAAAGAGAACACCAGCCACCCGGCAGGTGAGGGTGGCGTCTGGGCCAAGGGGTGCCAAGTAGCTGCAGTTGTGGAAAATTGGAAACAACCTCACTGTCAGAAGGAGATGGGCAGAGAATATGTGCTACATTCTTTCTGTGGAATATGATTCAGCAATTAAAGTGAGCCAGCGTAAGTATGTCAACATTGTTGTTAAGTGCTGTCGAGTCATTTCTGACTCATAGCGACCATGTATAGGGGTCCCAAGGAGCTGCTGGTGGGTTTGAACCATCTACCCTATAATTAACAGTCCAGTGCTGATCCTACAGTGCTGTGAAATGTGAGCAAAACATTGTAGAATGACAGACAATATGACAATTAGTGTGAGTTTTTAAAAATCGTAAAACTGCACCATACATTGTCTGTGGGTGTATGTTGTTAAGTGCCGTTGAGTCAGTTCTGACGTATAGCGACCCTGTTTAGGGTTTCCAAGGAGCAGCTGGTGAGTTTGAACTGCCGACCTTGCAGTTCAAACGGCTTTGCAGTCTTGCGCATTAACCCACAGTGCCACACCAGGACTCCCTGTGGGTGTATAGGAGGTAAGAGTATAAAACGCAGATAACCAGTTGCTGTCGAGTCAATTCTGACAGTGTCAGAGTAGAACTGTTGCCCCACAGGCTTCTCAGTGGCTGACCTTTTATCAGAAATCACTAAGCCTTTTCTTCCAAGGCACCTAAGCGAACTCGTGATTGTGGTGGTTTTGGGGATGGCAGGGACTAAAGCTCATGCTGTTCTCTTGTTTTACACTAGTGCCTGGCACCCAGAAAGCTTGCTATGTATGTGCTTGCCTAGAGTGGGGAAGCAGGACAGGGCAGGGAAGAAGCCAAACAAGGACGTGACTCAGGCAAAGCCTCTGCCTGGGTCCCACACAGGGCATTTGCTGAGTATAAGCAACATCTCCAAGCATGTGGCTTGATGCCAAGCCACGGAGCTAGGCTTTGTCAAGTCATTGGCAAGGGTGGTTTTAGGACCAGGGAGAGGATTAAAATTTCTGAGCACTCTGCTTCCTGAACCATGCAGGTATAGTGGGTTTGGGAAGCTGAGGGGCATCCTCCAAGGTAGGATTCAGGAAGAGGGTCATCTGAGAGGCATCCGTGGTGAGGGCCACCAGTGTGGCTGTCTGCTTTCACCCAACAGGAAAGGGATGCTGGGGATACTGGAGTGGAAACTGTTCCTGGTCCCAGGAGTAGAGTTGGACATGATCTGACTTAACATTTTAAAAGGGCCAAGTGGTGGCTTGGAGCAGGAGTAGGGAGGGGTGCCAGAATTTGGTGCTGGCCTAGATGTAAGAGCAAGAGGTGTTGATAACAAGGGTTTGGAGCCTGAGCAGCTGGAAGGGTGGAGCCACCACTAACTGAAGCGAGGAAGTGAAGGGTGGTCACAAGGCAGGTTCAGGGAAGGGTCAAGGGTTGAGTCTTGGACAGGCCAAGCTGGAAGTTAAGAGTCTCACCACCCTGTTCCTTTTAAAAGGGTCTTTTTAATAGTACACCCTTCTGGCTTCTGTCTGTGCTGATATTCTAGAGACAGATGACAGCTACCGGAAAGCCCAGATTGCAAGTCTTATTGTTACTTGTTACTTATTGTAAAGCTGAGCCTTTCCCAAGCAGAAGAAGCCAGAGAAACGAGAAACGTCCCCTGGGCGGGTCACTGCCTTCTGGTGGTGAGAACAGAGCCTCTGGTCTATCCGTGTGTCTGAAGGAACAGCTCTGGAATTCCAACAGCCACAGCTTCCCTTCCAAACCAGCCCAGGAACCAGGGACCTGGGTTCAAACTGCATTCAATGAGAAGCTGTCTTACGGACTAGACAGTCTCTCTTTTTTTTTTTTTTAACTTTTTATTGTGAATTGAGTGTGAATGTTTACAGACGAGATCATCAGTTTTACATTCAACAAATCACGCACTTAGTTTCATCTCAATGATTGCAGTCCCCTCCCTGGAACAACAGTCATCCCGCTTCCTCCCTGTGTCTCCCATCTCCATTCCACCCACCTTCCCATCCTTCCTCACCTTTGTCCTTAGGGACATGTTGCCTCGTTGATTTTGAATGATTGGCAGTTCCATCATTCATAGTGAACATCCCTTACTACTGCTTTTCTCCCTGTATAGCTAGCTACTGCTTAGCTGAAAGCTGGGCCATGAGAGTAAGTTCCTTTCCAGACCTGAAGGGTGGTCGAGGATCTTAGTCTTCAGGTTTCTGCAATCTCTGACTAGTAAGCCTGGCCTTTTTTTTTTAAGTAATTTTGAGTGTTGTTCTATATGTTCTATCACTCTATCCATGACCTTCTAACTTCTTCCTTATTGATACAGTCATCTTATTTTGCTTCTTGGACATGATCTGTGGCCTTAATACTTAATTGAGTATGTGTTTTGGTATTTTTTATGCTTTTTGCTTGCTTCCAGGTAGATGTGATCAGAATGTGGGCTTCCCTTTTCACTCTTCTTATTGCTTAACTCAGAGTAACTTTCACAGGTGTTGTCTGTTTCCCTGATATATGGTAATTGGTATTGGTTCTTACCTGTGTTTTGGTGTTCTATAGAGTGTGATTGTAGCTTATCTATATTATCCAGAACCTTCTAAAGTGATCCTTTTCAGAGCAGTTGGTAGCTGGGCACCATCTAGTTCTTCTGGTCTCAGAATCGTGGAGGCTGATGTTCACATGTTCTATTACTTTCTTGGACTAATTGATTCAGTTCTCATCACTCTTCTTTCTTCTGCACATGGAGCGACCAATAGCTGCACCTTAGATGGCCATTCATGAGCTTTGAAGATCCCAGACGCTATTCACTGAAGTAGGATATAGAACATGTTCTATATGGACTATGTTGTATCGATTGACCATGTTGTTAGACTGGACAGTTTATTAAACTGCTATGTCCCTCAGTTTTCTCATCTGAAAAATGGGGATAATTAATACCTGACCCTCAGTAAGATGGACTTACACAGTAGCTGCAACATTCAGCTCATATATAACAATTGTGAGGCTGCCACAGAAGCAGGCAGAATATTCTGTTATACGTAAGGTTGCCAGGCAACTAGGAACAACAAATCTGTGTTTATATATTTTTTTTCTTTTGTTTTCCTTCAATGAGGGGAAAAATTTGTTTTGAAACAATTTCCTTTTAACTGCCTTCCTATCACCCAAGTCTGTACCCTAGCCAGTCAATAATTCTCCCTCCCTTCTTACCCCTGGTAACCATCATTGTTGCTAAGTGCCATTAAGTTGGTTCTGACTCATAGGGACCCTGTATAAGGGTTTCCTAGGAGCAGCTGGTGGATTTGAACTGTCAACCTTGAAGTTAGCTGTCCATTGCTTATCCTACAGAGCCACACCAAGACTCCATAACCATCAATGTTTATTATAGCAT